TTAATGGGAGATTCAATGAAATACCTAATAGTCAACTCCAACTCATTTCTATGATAATAAAAGTACTTTTTATAGAGTTACTAGGTTAACTTTAACTTTTAATGATTCGTATATCTTGATTATCAAGTAGAGTACGACTGAGTACTCTTGATACGAGATCATCTATGTAAATGTAAAGTGAGGTCGCTTCTATGAAATTGTCTAAGGTTTGAATTCTCTAAAGGAGTTATGAAACTTAAGAGTTGATAGGGACAAAATAAACTCAACAATTGAGAGGGATTGTTTAAAATTGGTTATAAGGCATGCATAGTACATTGTATTAATTTTTATTCATGTGGGGGCACTGTTAAAAATTGGATATATAATAAGTTAGTTTTGACCAACTTTGAATTTTTTTGAGCAGGTCTTCTTAGTGAAATATTAGGATTTTTTAATCGAATCTTTTCCACTTCTTGAGTAAATCGGCTAGTATATTTACTTGCTTGAAATCAATATTGGGTGAATGAGAAAATAAGATCAATAAATATCTGCTTGAAACTTGGAAAATGGAATTGGATTAATATTTGAAAAAAAAAAAAAAAAAGTCTATTCCACATGGGAAGAAGAATACACATTGACCCACTTTATATAGTCCAAGTTTGACACTTGAATTTGGACCATGAGGAGTACAAATAGTCTTTAAAGGGAGAAAACCTATGTGTTGGAAGGCTTGGACTAGAGCACACACATGGCACCTTCGTCACCTGCCCACCTGTCGATCTAGGCTCGATTACGGCTGTTGATCATGAGGTATGGTTGTGGCTAGGCCCTAGTTGATCGATGTATTAATTTTTAAACAAATAATTAAAAATTAATTTATTTTCTTTTAATTATCTAGATCAACCATGCTATGTACACTCTCATTTACACTTTTCCACGTGACAATATCTACACTCTTGATTTTAAGCTCATCCATCACATCACTGCACAGATTTTCTCCACATAGGAAGGAATGTCATCCAAGTGGTAAGAGAAGATGTACATATAACATTATTCATCATCTTTTCGAATAGAGTAAATGACATATCCTTTCGAATAGATCATATCCAAACAAGCATGTATTTTCATCTCAAATTTTTGCTATTTGTACATTACTTTTTACTACTTAGTTAACAGAAGAGTGTGTTGTCAAGCAATTATTGGATGAAAAATAGATTTTTTTTTAACTGTCCAATGACATTGACATTCTGAAAAAAAAAAAAAAAAAAAAAACACTATCAAATAGGATGTACACCAAGCATGATTACTTCATTTCTACCCTTTCCTGTTACTGGTTATATCTTTTGGACATAACCATTCAACATCAATATTAGCTCATTTTCAGTTTCCTTCATTTCAAAAATTCACTGCATTTTAATACTCCCTCCGTCCTATGGAGATAGCTTACTTCTATTTTCATACAGATTAAAAAATATAATTAATATTACATTTTCTCTAATATATCATACATTGAATAATGGTTTAAATAAGAGTATTTCCCATTTATTGATAATAAGGCACATTAAATAGAGACATAATAGAAAATTAAGAAATCAACTATACTCTTAACAAGGAAAGTGATCTATAATTTGAGAAAAATGAAAAAGAAAAAAGTCTATCTTAATGAACGGAGGGATTATATTCTTACGTGCACAATCCGGTCTTCAAAGTTTCGGTTTCAAGAATCTCGTACCGCATATTTTCAATCCGTCTTCATGTTAGATAGTTCAAAATGCCAGTAACCTCCTAATTTGGAGTGCTATTAATAAAAGATGTGATCATTTTATCTTGAGAGATGAGTGCTATGATTAGCACCAGTGCGAGGCATTGTCTAAAAGAAGGAGAGTCCATCTCTTACCTCAGCCATTTCTAAGTCTTTTTCTTTCGTTTCTTTTCTTCTATATTTTTTTTATTCCTTTTTATTTCAGTAAGTTGATATTATGTCCATTTTATTGCATGTAAAATAATTTTAAAAACATAATTTGCACCTAATTTTTCTAACAGTTTGCTTATTCAAGAATGAAGATGCTAACATGTGACTGAGCCATGTGAAAAATTGCAGCATAGAAAAAAATTGTGTCTACATGAGATGAACTTAAAATTGGCTGAATAAAAAAAGGAAAGTTTTATAGCCTGTGCATGCCCATTCCTCTTGGGACCAGTTAAAATATATGGCAAGATGAATGAATAGTATTATACATCACTCTAGTTTAAGCATGGCCAATATCTGATTCATGAAAAATTGCTCCCTTTTATGACTACAGTGAATAATAACTTAATTTTTCAAAATGAATGGGCTTAGGTAATAATAAATATATGCGTTCCTCTCGAAGAGTTTAAGCTTCAGGTTGCATTTGACGCACTGTAATAGAATAGATAAGAAATTATGCATAAAATTAGAAGGAACAGCACTAAATAGATTGTGTTACGATGACCTAATAAAATGCGCCAAACGCAACCTAAAATGATGTGTTGCCACTCATTTATGAAAATGTGAGCACTTAAAACATTGCGAAAGAACTGGATATGACCATTAAATTTGAAAACTTTTAAACCATATAATCCAAAACTAACACAAATTCCAGAATTCAATTATCACTAGTTCTACAAATAAAATATTTTGTTAGATTGGCCTGATCCAGGAGAATGTGAGTGCATGCACATGGGTAAGGGTGGGTTGACAATAGAAATATTGAATGAGCAATTGGGCAGAATCAGACATGTGGGACCTAGTAGAATCCAAAATAAGACCAAGAAACATACTGAACTGTTCTTTTACTGATGTGTAATGTGTTTTGAGAAGGAAACAATTTGATCGGATCTAAATCTCTATGTAAACCTGTCCGGGAGAAGTGGGAAACAAAGACCCTTCTGTTTCTTCAGACTCTGCCGGCCAGCCTCACTGTATAAATTCTGCAATGGCAGTAAAGAATTCTTTTAGCATAATAATTGAAACACCAGTCCATTTTTATTCTAATTGCAACTTGTTCATCACTGATTAAGTTGGTTGGATAATATCAATGTTTTGAAACAGATTGGAGCATTGACTTGAGAAAGGTAAAGGGTGAAGGGTTAAAAGGTCGAACTCATGAACCAGCCAATTTTGGGCTGCAAACCGGCCGTTTTTGGGTTGTTTAATTTTTTTGAAAGGTTTTATTCGCGATTCTCAGTCTTAGAATGATCAACCGGCCATTTTTGGGTTCAAATGGGTTAATTTTTGTGACGGGTTTTAATCGCAATTCTCAGTCCTAGAATGATCCCTAAAAGCCACAAACTCTTTTAGGGCTACCTCAACTCTAGCATTTATCCAGTACTCAGTCCCTAAACTGGTGCCACAAACACCAGAAACAACCTTGTATTAGCACATAGTTTGTGTAATAATCTTATAAAGATTGTTTATACTACTTCCATATCTAACCTGGGATTGCTTAGTTGTACTTAATAATCCTTGTTATAGCTAATTAATGATTAAACATTTCTGTTTTGCCTAATTGTACATTTTCAACTGTCCCTCTGATATACGACATTACATCTCAGAGTCAGATTTTTCAATTAAAATAAATGTTTCCACTAAACAACCATTAATGATAATTATTAATGAAATCTCCTGGAAGCTTACTAATGTTTGGAGGTGCATTCAGTACAAGTAGTGTTACTTCAATTTGTACTTAAATAAGTGGCAAGTAACTTCTCTTATTGATTAACAGTAACTTAGAATTGAATATCCTCTCATCCTTCTTTAAAGGGTCAGTGCTTTAGAGCACACTTGGTACTTTCGACTTGATAGGTTAACGAATCAACGTCTCATCTTTAACTCTGTCTAGTAACTTACACCAGACATGTCAATATGTCATGGTTTTTTTTAAAGGAAATTTGATGGCCTTCACAATTCTTGCTACTATTTCAAGGTACTGCAAGTTTTAAGTGACGGATCGATCCCCCTAGTGTAGGTACTCAAATGCATAAGTTATGAACTGAAGTTGAAAAATTTATATGGATTGTGAGAAAATCTAGATTGAAAGTGTTGAATGCTCATAGGCCATAACTATTACTTACCATTCTACATTTAACTAATCGGGCGCCAACTCTTGAGTTTGTAGCCTTGCACTTAAGCGAGGTGCCTTTGACACAGTCATCTTTGTTCACTCCATTTGCGTGAGGTCATGTCATGGTGGTTGCACAAGTGAGATGTTTCCAACTCCCACCCAATCTTGTGCAGGGCGAGTCAGAATGTAATTGGTTTTGGTAGGAGTTAAATAATGTTAATTTGGCCTACTAACCTTTTCGAATTACTATTGAACTGATGGCAGGCAGAGACAACACGACGAACTGAAATATCTTAGTAGTTAGAGGAAAGACTAAATTCTAATTATACTTTTAGAGATTTAAGGGTAATAGTTAGATTCTTGATTAATCCGAATAATTCTTAACTAGATTCTCAAAGTTTATCTCGGAAACTCCCTTTTAGACAGAAAAAAAAAAAAAAAAAAAAAAAAAGAGGAAAAACTTTGATGTTATATACCACAACTAGGATTACAATTGGCACCTTGCAACAAGTGGCTTCCTATATATGAACAATACTTACAAATATTAACAAAGGGATTTCCATATTATTCATCTCAAGGTCGCCTTCCATGAAATTTAAGTTTGGCCAGCTGGATAGACACAGACCCACGTGCAACTAGCACGTTCCATTCCTTTTCTCTATATGGGCCCGTTTGGTAGGGATTTTGAGAATTGATTTTTTGACCGTTAGAAGAAAAGTGGGGTCCACATGTGAGAGAAGAAGTCAAAAATTACGGCTTGAATAGTAAAATAACGGTCAAAAAATCAATTTTTTGGAGCAAAAAATACTACCAAACGGGGCCTAAATACCTTATCCCTAAACAAAGGCATATCACATTCACACAGAAGATTGAATATTGGTACATTACTTCTCTCAAGATTTAACAGAAAATCAAGAGGGAAACAAATAAATAAAAATGGCTTGCTGGTCTGCTGAAAACGCCACCAAGGCCTATCTTAGAACCATGAGAATGGTCAGTCTGAAGAATCCGTACTGTTAAACTATGTTATCTGAAAGTTTAAATTGCTAGAGACTGTTCGTCTGATTTGACGCTCTCTTGTGATATTTAACTCACTTGATTTGATATTACTTGCAGGGAGAAAAAGCTAGAGAGCCTAATGGAGTCGAGTTCATTTCAGCACTTGCGACAGGCAACAATGCACAAATCATGGTGGTTGCATGCGCCGGTGCTGCTGACTCAACCACATTAGCCCTGGTTGCAGCAGCCCAGCAAAGCCACGGGCGCGTTATCTGCATTCTTAGCAGCAAACCGGATCACCATCTGTCCAAGACAACTCTGGGCATAAATGCAGGTCACGTCGAATTTGTAACTGGAGATGTTAAAAATCAGCTGATAAACTATTACAAGGAAGCAGAGGTTGTTGCCATTGATTGTAATCTCGAAAATTATGAGATGATTATCAGCTTGATTCAAGAAAATGCGAGACCAAACAATACAATTGTTGTAGGATATAACGCATTTTGCAAAGAATCATGGAGGAATAGCCCTTTGTGTAGTGATTTGTTGCCAATAGGAGAAGGCTTCCTGTTAACAAAAATAGCAGGTAATGGTTCTGGTTTGAAAATGAGAGGGAATTGGATTGTGAAGGTGGATAAATGCACAGGTGAAGAGCATTTATTCAGGGTCAGATCTTCTGTTGGGAGAGTCATTAGAGCCTGATCCGCAATGTTATGTTCACTTGCTACTGTTTTAAAGAAGAGTACAAAGTTTCTTCACTGCTGTCTGAGGGGAATCCATACACCACAAACGTAAATTTTTCCTAGGCCAGTCTATGAAATGTAAATAGGCAATGAATCAACCACATAGAAATTCCATTTCATATAAGGATAATTATCTTGTACACAAATCAAGTTTTAGTGATTTTTTGTCATGGTTGAGATAAAATTTTATCTAACTTTAAAATCAGATTGGCATAACTATAATATGATGTACTTGTTTGATGACAATTTTCAGAAAAAATAGCAGTTTCCCCTTTGGAAATTCACGTCTAAATCCTATATTGGCGGATTTCATTGCTGAACTTTCATATGCCCCCTTTCTTGAAAGTGAATGATGAGCATGTTTCACTCATTATATTAATGCTACTTAATATTAATATTTCATTTGATTCTTAGCATTTTAAAATGTTTTGATTTGTGTTCTCGTGTTGTTTTATAAGCTAGGTAAATTAATGTGAATAATGCAAAATCTGGAGAAAAGAATGATCTTGGCATAAATCGAGGAGAAGTTGATTTTGATTTGATGAAACTTGATGATTGGAGGATAAATTGAAAGAAAGAAGTGAATAACGAAGAAAAATGATGCAATCCAAAGTTTGAAAACTCAATTGCAACTTTTCAATAGTTGATTTGGACTAGAAAATGATAATTGAAGAGTGCTAGGAGTCAATGGAATGCAATTTGAAGTAAAAAAATGAGTGAAATATGATCAAAATATTTTCACAAATCAATTTTCTATCACACAAGTATTTTCTAGATTTTTAGCTAGAGATTAAGACACATTTTTGACATAGTAAAAGTTCAAATGCTGAAGTAAAATTGTAGCCCTTTGAATTATCTTTTCAATGCACTTTGAATCTTCTCAATCGATTATCGGGAGAAAAAACTACGATAAAAATACAGAAAGATGCGAAGTGTTGAATTTTTACCCGAAAGTGGGCCCCACAGCCCCACTACTGCTGAATTTTCAACAAAAGCATGGTACCAAGGTGCCGTTGGGCTAGAAAAAGACTTTTTGTTTTTCTGGACTCTTTTCTTGCCCAATCCTACCACAACCCTTACAAGACTTCAAGATATTATAAATACAAACCTAAAATCCACTTTTGGAAGAGAATTGAAGGGGGCCAAATTCAAGAAATCAAGGAGGCAAAGGCAGCTTGGCGAAGAAGATTGATTCAATCATCCAAAAAATAATTTTATCTTTCTTACCTCCATGTTATTCTTTATGAATTGTATATATTTCTTGTCTCATATCATTAACTAAACAATTCTTCTAGGATTTGATTAGCCAAAACTCGAGGATATGATTTGATTTTGTTTTATTTATTTCTATGAAAATTTTCAATTCCATTTATTTGGGTTGTTGATTTAATACTTTCAATTAATTGGCTACTAATTAAATAATTAGATGCTAGTCAATTTCGGCACTTGAGAGAGGAAAATTTAAGCATAATCACAACAATAACACAATCTAGATTTATGGGTTTCGGTAGAAAGTATATAATCTATGAAGCTTGTTCCATCTAAGAACCACAATCTCGATAAATTTTGATTTTAATTTGGAATAAAGATGTTGAAATTAATTTTTACCCAGCACTCGAGATGAGGGTAAAATTACATTAGGATTCTTGCTTATAAATATAAAAAATTGATTAGAGATAACTAGGTTTTTGAAAATCATATTTGATAATTAGGCGAAATCATACCCTAAGTGTTCCTATATTGATTAATTCGTATAACTTGCATTTATTCATTGAATTCGTCACAATCATCCTTAATTTAGCTAAAACATTGATTCGAAAAAATTCATTCAGCTAGATAAAATAGAGGCTACACAATCATAGTATTTAGTATAAATTTAAATTACAATCCCTATGGATTCGATACTCTAACTCCATTCATATATTACAAAATTTGACACCTACACTTGTGGTGTAATTTAGTTATAGAAAACGTGCAACAGCAACCCAAATAGGAAGAAGTCGTTGAAATAAGGACATTATTGGTCAACTATGAGAAAAATATGCTATAGACTTTACAAAAAAAATAATAATAATAAATAAATAAAATAAAATTGTGAGAGATGTCGGAAGTTTACAATTATACCTCACCTACCTTCACATAAGTTGATTACCGCCAACAACCCTTGGCCTTTTGCAAAGTGGGGTATTAATTTTGTTGGACCTTTACTCAGAGGAAGAGCTAACATGAGGTTCATGGTTGTAGCGATAGATTATTTTACTATATTTGTCGAAGTAGAACCCCTTCTCAACATCGCTGAAGCGAACACTTATAAGTTCATCTGGAAGAATATTATTTGTCGTTTCGGGCTTCCAAACTTTATTATTTTAGATGATGGTGGCACAATTTCAAGGAAAAAAAATGAAAGCTATGCGCAAAGAGTTAGGGGTCCATAGACACTTTTCTACTCCATTTTACCCTTGAACTAATGGACAAACGAAAGCAATATATTAAACCTTGAAGAGTATTGATCATACGAAATCCTACAAGTGTACGATATCGTAACAAATAATATAATGATGAAAATATTATCATTCCCACGAGAACTATGCAGTGTTCTAAAAAACACACAGAGACGATACTTAGGTGCAAAGCTCGAGTGAAACACTCCACCGTGCGAAATTTAGCGATCAACTATCATGTTGACCGCTTAATGTGCGATTAGGCATATCTAGGCATGCTTTATTAATTTTTTTATTTTTGTCGTTTTCTTAGGCATGCTTTGTTTATTTTTTTTATTTTTATTTTATTTTATTCCTTTTTCAATAAATATTTTATTTAACTTTAATTTAAAATTTTTAAATGACTTTATTTTTACAAAATTCAAGAATAACTTTATTCGATAAAGAGTTAGATAAGATTTAAACTACGGTACTATCAACATTATGTAATTATAGTTTTGACATTTATTGTTTTGTTCGAAAGTTCGATGGTATGTATAAAGTTCTTATAAATTTATTAAGTAGAACTTGTCCAATTGAAAGTTAAAAACTATGAAAAATAGTTTAACTTTTACATTTTGAAACTTGAAAACTTTATAATTTACTAATTGTATGAATTATTAAGTAAATATAATAATTTTAGATGGTTGGTATGTATTATTTTAATTATCAAACGATTTTTAGATTAATTAAAAATTTAAAATAATACTAAAATAAGAAAATGATATTTTACGTTTAGGTGCATGGCTCGTAAAACATGAAGCTTTATCTCCACACCTAATCATACTTTACGTTTTTTTAAGAGCAATGGGACTATGCATTCTATCAGTGATCAATTAACAATAATCCTAATCAAATAGTCAAATTTATTTAAAGAATTAATATTGATTAGCTAACTAAACTTAGGTTGCTTATATTGCCACCGGCCCATCACAATTTGTTTTTGTTCCACCTCATTTTAAATCCACCCTAATTAAAATATATTTTTACTAAATACACCACTTCAATTTGACTAATATAACCTAATAATTAAAAATTATCTACTACATTAATTAATCCTCTGTCTAAATACCATTGTTCTAAAAAGCTGAAAGCGTGGCTAGACATGAAGTAGAAGTTTCAAACTTTGCGAGCCTAGATAAGGCTTAGGCATAAAAAACAAAAAAACAAAAAAAAATTCTTATTTATAATATTATTTTAATTTTTTAATCATTTTAAAATTTATTTAATAATTAAAATAATACATATTAAACATCTAAACTTATAAAACATAATAACTCCTATCATTAGTCAATTATACAACTTTCAAGTTTTTTGAATGCAAAAATTTCAATATTTTTCATACTTTCAATTTTTAACTAGATAAGTCATACTTAATAAATTTATAGAAATTTCGTATATGATTTTGGAGTTTATAATAAAATGAATCTCAACATCATAATTATATTAGTAGATAACACCATAACTTAAAATCTTATTTAACTATTTAGATACAATCATTTTTAACTTTTGTACATAAAAAATCTTTTAAAAACTTGAAATTAAAGTCAAATGAAAAGTTTTTTTTTTAATAATAATAATCTAAAGTCAAAAAAAAGACTTTTAAAAAAATTAAAAAAAGTAATAAAATACGCCTATGAAAGACCAAAAAGATGAAGGAAAAAAATTCAACCGTTTAAGAATTGAAAAGGAAAAAAAAAAAAAAAGAGTCTAAATGCAAAGCGAAGCATTTTGCCTGAACGCACAGTCTAGGTAAGTTTTTTAAAACATTGCTAAATACATCCCAAGCATAACCAATCCTGTAAATCCATATCTATAGAGAGAGAGAAGAATATCGATCTCGTACAAATATTGCTACCATTTATATATAAACTGGCCTCTTCCTCTATTCGTTCTCTTTCTACATCTTCACATCCATATCTATATCACTACCAAGAAATCAAACCCATCTTGCAAACTATTTTCAAAATTTCCAAAAATCTCTTCTTCTTTTTTTCTTTTTTTCAAATGGGCTCATCTTTTCATTCTTGATTTTGTTAGAAAATCAAATTAGATCCAAATATAAATTCAATCCTAGGATCAACATCATGCTAAATTACTAGAATTCACAGATTCAGATAATATACATGTATCCATTGTAAACGATTGCCTACTGTTGCGGAATTACTGCGACAATCGACTACGTACCGATGAATGCAAATGAAGAGGGTGGATTTGTGATCTTCCTCAACCAAATCTCCTTATTCCTCAATGGGACCGTGAGTTCTCTTCTTGATGGGGAGAAGGGAAAAGAGTGTATGATTTGGTATATTGGGGACCATAACCAAAATAACATTTATATACTACTTAATTAAGGTTCCCATTATCCCTTAATTAGAGTAATATTAGCTGGTATCTACTCACTTAGTCCATATTAATTTGAGTAGTCTATGGGCATACAAAAAATAGACCACTTGATTTTTGCCCATTATATTAAATAGCAAATATAATTGTATTAATGTGTTGTCAATATTAATTTAGAAAATCGTGTTTTTCTAACAATCTCCCACTTGGCTACATATTATTCCTTAAACAATTATA